GACAGGGCACCGTCGCCTATCTGTGGATTGGAAACTCATAGTATTAATGTGCGCGGCGCTCAGGCGAGAGCCACATTTTGTAACGACCCCTCACCCGCGTAGTTGTTGGAAGCTTGTGGGGCGAATCTGTGAGTTGCTGAGGCGAGGGGCATATTCTGAAAAGGAATCGCCGAGAGGCATACTCTGAAGAGGACTCGTCCCAACTTCTGGTACGCAACTGAGTGGAGCCGTTAAGGCGAATGTGCGCGGCACAAAGGCCTTGACTTTTGAAAACGACAAGCCTTCCGCCCGCGTAACTGATGGAAGATGTTAAGACGACTGTGCGCGGTGATCAGGCGAGAGCCACCGTATGAGCACGACGCCCCGTCCATCCGTGTAACGGTTGCAAGGTTTCAGGGGTAAGGTGCGTGGCGTTGAGGTGGGAGTTAGATTTCGAACACGATTCCACAGAGCCATGTTGAAACCGATCCCTCTTCACCCGCGCAGTTGCTGGGCATGTCAAATTTCGGGGCTATACGTGGGGCGGGCGTCTCAGGCGAACCGCCTGTTCCGCCCTACCGACACGCCTGGCTGGCAGACGAGGGGGAATTGTCTATCGGGGAAGAGGGGTTGACAAGATCACGGAGGGAGGACGGGGCGGACGGAAGGCATGAAGGACTATAACGCGAAAGGAGGATGAGCAGGGATGATGAGGGATGATGAGGAATCATGATGGTGATGGTAAGGATGGTGATGATGGTGATGCTGGTGAAGATGATGCTGTTGATGAGGAGGACCAGGAGGAGGAGGAGGACGAGGAGGATAAGGAGAAGTAGGAGGAGGAGGCAGAGGAGGAGGAAGCAGGGAGCATGGAGCAGGGAGCAGGGAGCAACCAGGAAGGATGGGAAGGAGGAGGGAGGAAGAGGGGCAGGAGGAAGAGGATGATGATGATGATGATGATGCTGATGATGATGATGATGATAATGCTGATGAGTATGATGATGCTGATGCTGCTGCTGATGATGATGATGACGAGGAGGAGGAGGAGGAGGAGGAGCAGGAGCTGGAGGAGGGGGGCGCAGAAGGAGCTGGAGGAGGAGTAGGCGGGCAATCAGACATTTCCAAACCGTGCATGCCTGAAAGTTGAAAGCTGCGCACCTGTCGATAAACGAGGAGGAGGAGGACCAGTGTAAACCCAAAACTCATAAACGATACTTGAATAGGCCCTCCCTCCAAGCTCCCTCCCTTTTCACATGCCCCTGCAAGGATTTATTTCCACTGAGTAAAATACCCCGTTGGGAGATCACCGTGTAAACTTTCGAAGTGCCAAAACACCATTCCGGGGACTTAACGCCACGAGTCAACCTGACGGTTGCGTCTTGACGATCTGACGATCTTCAACCGTGCTAGAATACCATCCCTGGAACTTCAAATTGTGTGAGATCGAGATCTTGATCGATGTGATGTCGATTGATTGAGACGTTCGTTCTCCCTTCCCCCCGAACCTCCATATCACCCGAAAGGTGGTTGTGTAGGTCGGAGGCGAGGGGGAAAGATCGCAGTGGAACGGAGCACCCCACCCGGAAATCGGTTTCGTTTTTATGTTCGTCGTGTCGTGCGTGCGGGCGAGGCGAAGCTGCGTGGGCCCGCGAGAGAAATGATGCCGCCGTGGCTAGGGGCCGTGGAGCCAGTTGTCCGCCCCACTGACCCCCGGCGCGCGGTGGCCGGGGGTGTCCCGTCGGTGGCGCGTCGGTGTCCCGTCGGTGTCCCGTCGGTGGCGCGGCGGTGCTCCGTCGGTGGCGCGGGGTGTCCCGTCGGTGGCGTGGCGGTGAGATTGTAAGATCGATTGTGAGATCTATAGTGGGATCGACAGTGAGATCTATTGTGATATCGTCGGTGTTTCGTGTCCTGGAGCAGGGCGGCGCAAGTCAGTGTCCCGGAGCAGGGTTGCGAGATCGATCGTGACATCCGTTGTGAGATCGATTGTGGGATCTGTTGTGCGATCAATTGGGAAACCGCTCGTGAGATCTATAGTGCGATCGACAGTGATAACGATACAAATCGATAGTGGTCTCGATTGTAAGATCGATGGCGAGATCGATGGTGAGATCGATAGTGCACTCGAAGGTGGGATGGATAGTGAGATCGATACTAACATATGTTGAGAGATAGAACGATACTGGGGTCTGTTGTGAGATCGATCGTGAGATTTCTGGTGTGATCGATTGTGGTATCGCTTGTATGATGTATCGAGGGAGCGCCAGTGAGATCGATACTGAGATCGATCGTGAGATCTGTTGTGAGATCGACTTTGAAGCCGGTAGTGAGATCGATGGTGAGATGGATTGTGAGATCGTTTGTGTGATCGATTCTGAGACCGAGTGTGAGAGCGCAAGTGAGTCCGACTGTGAGACCGATTGTGAGATCTGTTGTGCGATCGATAGTGAGATCGATTGTGAGATCCATCGTGAGTTCGATTGTTAACTCGGTAGTGGGGTCGGTTGCGAGATCGTTCGTGAGA